GCAAGGAGTATCAATCCCTCCATTCCTCACCATCCAGTCAGAAGGCTCCACACCCATTTGCCCCACTCAGGTGTGACCCTGAGGACACAGATAAACCTCCAAGGGGCCTCAACGGCCCTCTAAAAGGATGCAAATGACCAGCTGTCTGCAAGGAGTATCAAGCCCTCCATTCCCCACCATTAAGTCAGAAGGCTCCACACCCATTTGCCCCACTCAGGTGACTCTGAGGACACAGACACACCTCCAAGTGGCCTCAACGTCTCTCTAGAAGGATGCAAATGACCAGCTGTCTGCAAGGAGTATCAATCCCTCCATTCCTCACCATCCAGTCAGAAGGCTCCACACCCATTTGCACTACTCAGATGGACCTGAGGACATAGACACAACTCCAAGTGGCCTCAACGACCCTCTAAAAGGATGCAAATGACCAGCTGTCTGCAAGGAGTATCAATCCCTCCATTGCCCACCATCCAGTCAGAAGGCTCCACACCCATTAGCACCACTCAGGTGTGACCCTGAAGACACAGATAAACCTCCAAGTGGCCTCAACGGCCCTCTAAAAGGATGCAAATGACCAGCTGTCTGCAAGGAGTATCAATCCTGTCCTCCACCATCCAGTCGGAGCTGAAGAAGCTTCTTGGAGGAGAAGTGAAAAGTCTTCAAACGAAAAACCAGAAAGTCCAGTTGCCTCCTGAAAAAGCACCTTTGGGACAACCTTGACTGGAAGGGCGGAGAATCTCTACAGACTTTTAGCTATGCCATTTGGGATGGACACCCTTGGAATGGTGTGGGAGCAGGAATGGATTTCCAGGGGGGGGGGGGAAACGGACCACACCAGGACCATTTTCCCCACGCAGGTGACCCTTAGGACACAGACACACCTCCAAGTGGCCTCAACGACTCTCTAAAAAGGATGCAAATGACCAGCTTTGTCTGCAAGGAGGAACAACCCTTCTGTCCTCCACCATCCAGTTGGAGCTAGAAGAAGCTTCTTAAGAGGAGAAATGAAACGCCTTCAAAGAAAAAACAGAAGGTCTAGTTGCCTCTTGAAAAAACAACAACAACACCTTTAGGACAACCAAGACCTGAAGGACGTAGTATCTCTACAGACATCGAGACTAGAAGCACAGGCCTTGCCCTCAGGAGCTGGGCCTCCAGCTTCAAGCATTACCTGCTCCGAGCCCAGAGGGACACTGGTGTCCTGGCTCCGGGTGATCATCCGTCGTGGGGAGGAGGTGGGCCCCAGAGGGGGTTTCTCGGCCACGGGGGCAACGTTGGAGAGGTTCTCCAGCTCGGTCTCCGTGGACTCCATCTGGTGAAAACTCCACAGCCCCACTTTCCTCATGCAACGGGAGCAGCTGATCAAGGGCAGATGGACAGAGCCAGAGGGAGGACTAGGAAAAAGACACACACACACACAGACACACAAATTAACCTGAGGATCCAAAGCCAATCTGCTTCACGCAAAGCACAATTTAAATACCACACGCAGTATTTTTCAGAGTATGAGACGCTCTGGAAGGAGAAGACGCACCTCTCTTTTTGGGGGGGAGGAAAACAAGGAAAAAACAACCCGCCTCTTGCCTCCCAGCCATTGGTCTCCTTGCGGCCAGCAGCCGGTTTCAGCTTCAGCGCAGCCGGATTGAGCACAAGCAGCTGACGGTCGGGTTGGATCAGCCTCCCGACGATCAGCTATTCCAAGCTGCGGGGATTTGCCATCGCTTGTTGCCACCTCTGCACGCCCCGTTTTTTTGGCCTCCGCAAGGAACAATTTCCGGCTCGTTCTGGGCGGCGGGGATTGGAACGAGCGGAAAACGGGGCGCGCGGAGTCCCAAAATGGGGCACGCAGAGGCGGCAACAGCCAATCCCTGAAGACTGAAACAGCTCAGCTGCTTGTGCTAAATCAGGCTGTGCTGAAGACGCACATACGTTTTCACAAAAAGTGCGTCTTATACTCCCCAAAATATGGTACATGCAGATGCTACTTGACTTACAACTTGTTGTAGTCCACCGACAGCCTGCAGAGACAGCAGCCGAGTCGGACAGTGGGGAGGAACATGGGCCAGAGTCCTGGAGTCTGGGGTGGACTCGGACGAGGGTCCTGCGTCCGACGCAGAGACGGGGCCAGGGCCCATCTGGGAGTTATGTGCTGACTCCGGAGCCTCCAGAATCGGACAGCAGCGAGGAGGAGGAGCAGGGGGAGCCTGTTCCCAGTGTGCGTGTGCGTAGAGCTGCCAGAAGGCAAGAACAGCTAAGACAAAAGGGGCAACTGGGGAGTAAGGCTTGGAGGCGATTGCTCCTCCCATAAGATAGAAAGGAAGTGCAAAGGGACAGGAGCCTTTGCAGGAAGCAACGTTGTTTGCTCTGGTCGGTTTGGAACCTGAAATCTCCGTGGTGAATTTGTGCTCTGTTTTGGTTTTGAAAGACTAATTGGGACTTTAGTCGTTGGCAGCACTTCAAGAAAGATCAAGGTGCGTGCTTATCAGACTTCTCCCGAAGGACTTTGGCAGACTTCTATGGGACAGTTTATAACCGGTTGAGACTCATTACGGGCTGTGAATGACGATCATTCGCAGCCGTCGAACTAAAATAAAAAGGTTTTGGATTTAACGTGTGTTGTTTGGTGTCTCAGGAAGCCTTACTTAGAACACAACTGCAGCTGAGCCCAACAGGTTCGGTGACTATGCCAGACACGCTGTTCAGGGAGCGTTGGCTCATTTGACCACCTTTCTTGCCGCCATCATTAAGTGAATCACTTGCAGTTGTGAAGTTAAAAAACCCATCGTTAAACTAATTTGGTTTCCCCATGGACTCGCCTCGTCGGAAGGTCGCAAACAGGGATCGCGTGACACTGCAACCGTCGTAAGTACATGCCAGTTGCCAAGCTTCTGAATTTTTGGTCACGTGACTGTGGGAATGCTGCAATGGTCGCTAAGTGTGAAAAAAGGGCCCTGTGACTTTTTTTCGCTGCCGTTGCAACTTCAAACGGTCATTAAATGAACGGTTTGTAAGTTATCTGTGTTATGTGCATTTTTTCCACACGCTGGTATCCCTTGAGTTACATACACCACGACTGAGCCTGGAATTTTTCAGTCGTTAAATTGGAATGATCCTTACATGGGCTCATCAGGTGACTTCACCATGGTCATTAAGTGAAGATGGTGGCTGTAATGCAAATCTGGCCGTTGTTAAAGAGAACCCTGGTAGGAATGTGTGTTGTCGCCAAGGTGGGAGGGTGAGTTATTATTTTATTATTTTTATTTTTCACTTTTTTTCCTTTATATCAGTGGGCGCCAACCAGTGGGCCGGGGACCACTGGTGGTCCGCAAGAAAATTTTGGTGGTCCATAGAGAAACGTCCCACCCAAAGCAATTAATCCAGGCTAAGGGGGAACACAAGGCTGCACCGCCCACATGGCCCGCGGGAACACAAGGCTTGCGTTGTTTGCATTGCGAACAACACGAGGGAGTGAGGGGAGGGGGGAAAGGGCAGAGGGGGGGGACTTGCCCCACATGCCTGGCCTGGCCACCAGGCTGCTTCTTTCCGCTTCTTTCTTCTGCTTTTGGCTGCACACAAGGAAAGCACCCAAAGTTTTTCTTTCTCTCCCCCAAACTCCGCCAGAAATGAGTCTTTGTGACCCTGCAAGGCCTCCTGCTCCAAGAGGCTGAGCCGGCAAAGACTCCTTTCTGGCGGAGTTTGGGGGGAGAGAAAGAAAGACTTCTGCGGCTTCTGCTGCTTTCCTTGCATGAAGCCAAAAGTCTCTCTCTCTCTCCCCCTCCCCCGAGAACGGAGCTGGAGACGGTATCCTGCGATCCCAAATAAAGAACGATCGATCGGTACGAAAACAGGGTGGGGGAATTTTCCTGCAGACTTTTTGGGGGGATTTTCCCAGGGTCTCTGGTCCGTGGGATTGAAAATGATGAGTTTGGTGGTCCCTGAGGTCCAAAAGGTTGGCGACCCTTGCTTTATATTGTGCTTTTTATCTCCTTGAGTTACCATGTGCGAGCAGGTGGCAATGGAAACATTTCTAAGTAATGAATAAGTGATCAAATCAATCCATTTTCCGCAGGGGGAGTGGTGCAAAACTCCACCCTGGTGACTGGAAGGGCATCTGGCCATTAAAACACTTGGCTAGCTCCATTCAGTGGCCCAGATTCCACCCTGTAAAGGATTATGGGGGATTACTGGCCGGATACCTTTCCTGTCGCCAATGTGGAGTTTTGTTCAGCAGATATATTCTCATCGTGGGTGGGGGGGGGGGGTGTTGCCAGAGACTAAAAATAAAGGATAGTTTGGGGCACAAATAAAAAATAAAAATAAGATTCCCCCTCTCCCCCCCTCCCCCGATTTTGATCTTCCACTTACCTACCGGTCCAGCCGCAAAGGGCTAGAATGGAAGCTGTGATGTGGACTTGAAGAAGGTCCGAAGGCGGCTTGGCCGATGTCTTCTCGCCTTCGGTTTTGCGGTTCTCCTCCTCTTCCTTCTCCTTCTCCTCGATCAATTGCAAGAGAAAGCTGACCTTGTCTTCCGTCAAGGACTGAGAAGCAAACAGACTAAAATCAAATCTCTCCACCTCCCCCCAAAATGGCGATCAGCCTCTTTCTGGTGGGCGAACACGATTTCCAGAAGTTTCCAGAAGTTTCCAAGCTAACAGAGAGCCCCAACCTGCTGTTTGTTTGTTTTTTGTTTTCCTCTTTTAATGACTGCGTCATCCCTTGCATTGGAGTGGAGTCTGTCAGCAACTGAATAGAGCTAGCAGAGTGTTTTTTTACTGGCCGGATACCTTTCCTGTCACCAATGCGGAGTTTTGCTCAGCAGATCTATTCTCATCGCGCTCAGAGAGAGAAATATCTGCCTCCAACCTAGGATCGAACTCACAGCCTCCTAATTGTGAGGCGAGAGCTCCACCTCTAGGCCACCACTGCACCCACACATGCCCAACTTGCTGTTCCGGGAAGGAAACATTCTGGAGACATCCGGAATGTTCTGTCAGTCTTTGAATCATGCTAATCGGATGTTCCAAAGAGAGTTTTGGACGTACAGGTAAGTCCTCAGCTTACAATAGTTTGGTTAGTGACCCCTTCAGTCCAAAATGTGACTTCTGACCGTTTTTCATAGTTACGACCTTGGAAGTCTTCCTCAGGATTGTGGGATCAAAATTCAGAGGCCAGCGTCCCCGGAGTCACGATTCCCCTTTTGTGACCTTCTGAGGAGCCAAATCAAGGGGGAAGCCGGATTCAACTTAACAACCAGGCTACTAAGTTATCAGCTGCGGTGATTTGCTTAACAAATGGGGGCAAGAAAGGCTGTAAAAATGGGGCAAAACTGACTTAAACAAATGTTTCACTGAACGACAGAAATGGTGGGCTCCATTGTGGTCGTTAAGTCGAGGACTGCCTGTATTTTATTTCATCCTTAAATAATTTAGAGCTGCCTAACTCACATTTGATTATGGAAGTATCAAAAAAGGGGGGGGGAAAACAATCAAAACCATTTAAAAAAAAAAACCCAAAACCCATTAAAACACAATCAGTAGAGCAAGAATCCCAGGGCAGCGTCTTCCGTAAATCTTTATGCCAAGAATGGCTCATTCAACGCACGAGTTACAACCTGCTCTGTCCTAGGAATCTCCAAAAAGCACTAAAATTCTGAGTCCCGGCAAAAAACTCTTTTGTTACATTAATAATGTGAATTTCATTCACAATCAGCCAAACGGCTTGGCAAACAGTCTTGCAAAGGTAAACTAGTGAGCTCAGACCTTTATCAATCCTGGAAGGGTCTTATTTTCAAGGAAACACGGTAGAGAGAGAGAGAGAGAGAGAGAGAGAGAGAGAGAGACAGAGAGAGAGAGACAGACAGACAGACAGATAGATAGATAATGGATAGAGATATAGGGATAGATAGATAGATGATAGATAGATAGATAGATAGATAGATAGATAGAGATAGATAGACAAACAGACAGATAATGGATAGAGATATAGGGATAGATAGATAGATAGATGATTGAGATAGATAGATAGATAGATAGATAGATAGATAGATAGACAGACACAGACAGATAGATAGATAATGGATAGAGATATAGGGATAGATAGATAGATGATTGTTATAGATAGATAGATAGATAGATAGATAGATAGATAGATAGATAGATAGATAGACAGACAGATATAGATGGTGTGAGAGAGATGATAGATATTAGATAGTAAGTATGAGGTAGGTAAGTACACAATATAGATGATGAGAAAGATGATAGATATTAGAGGAGATAAATATACACACAGATATAGATGATAAATGACGGACGGATGGACGGATGTATATAGCATCTGTATATGTGTGTTATATATGTGTATGTGTAGATATATATTCTCCTTTTGAGAGCAGGCAAAAGAGTTTCATTTTTAATGTGTGCCAGTGTGCTCACAGTAAAAAAAATGACAATAAAAAGTTATCTTTATCTTATCTGATCTCATCTCATCACCAAGAGCTTACCACATTTTTGAGACTGTCCGGCTTCAGGGAGGGCAGCTGAAGCTGCAGCTGACACAGATTTCGGAAGCGTTCTAGGAAGTCGGTGCAAAGAGCGTGGGGTTCTTCCACCAGCAGCACCGAAAACCGATCTAGTCCAAAAGGAAAGAAGCAGATGTCAGGAAGTCCTCGATTTACGACCACAATACAGCCCCATAGTTATGTTGTTAAGCGAAACAGTGGTTAAGCGAGGAGGGTTTTTTTTTGCCCCATTTTACAACCTTTCTTGCCACAGTTGTTAAGTGAATGCAGTTGTTAAACTAGTCACACAGTTGGTAAGCGAATCCTTCCTTCGTTGACTAGAAATTTTGGGCTCCACTGTGGCCGTAAGTCGAAGACCACCTATACTTCGACATGCACGTGGTTAAGGGACTATAAGAGCAGCAATCCAAGAGAAGTGCTGCAATTTCATCAGGGCCTCTTTTGAGCATCTCCCACAGAAAATGGCAGAGCATCAGACAGCCTACACATCTGGAAGACCTCATGTCCAGGTGCAACCCAACCTTGCTATTTCTTTCTCTTTTCTTACCTGGGCAAGGACTGTCTGGCCAGAAGCAGAATTTTTCGTGAGCTCCCAACAAGGCCTTCTGCAGCTCCAGGCACCTCTCCTTATCTAGGAAGCAAAGAGGCCCGATGAACAGCAGACCAACCCAAGGCAGAACACTTTTAAAGATCTGTGAAGTCCCAATGACAAGGTGGTGAAAAATGCCCCATCCAGAGTCACTAGGTGCCAAGATGGGCAACTCATTTTGCAAACCAACCAACCAACCACTCAGCCAACCAACCACTCAACTACTCAACCAACCAACCAACCACTCAATTACTCAACCAACCAACCAGCCAGCCAACTAACCAGTCAACCAACCAGCCAGCCAGCCAACCAACCCTCAATCACTCAACCAACCAACCACTCAACCAACCATTCAGTCAACCAACCAACCATCCAGCCAACCAACCAACCATTCAATCACCCAACCAACCAACCAATCCACCAACTAACCAACCACTCCACCAACCAACCATCCACCAACCAACCAACTACTCAACCAACCAACCAACCAACCAATAAATCCTGTTTCCAGTTGCCTTCCAGATGTTAACAGACCAGGCTCTCCCAAAAGGCTTACATTTGCTGAAGTCGAATGCCAGCTGGAGACTGGCGCAGAGGTACGCTTGGCAGCTGGAGCATTTCAACATGTCGCACTCCACGTTGGTCCATCCATACTTGGCGCAGATCAGGGGCGACAGCTCGTGGGGTTTGCCTGCCCACTTGAGGGAGTGTTGGGCGTTAAGGAAAGCCACTCGAGATTTCAGAATTTAAGATTTAAGAAAAATCTGGCCTTGCCATCAACTTCTACAGGCCAGCATGAAATTTCCTCCCATTCTCACAGCTCTCAATAGAGGTAGTCCTCAACTTACAACAGTTCATTTCATGATCGCTGAACATTACATCACTGAAAAATAGTGACTGATGGCCATTTTTCACACTTACAATCACTGCGGCATCTCCAGGGTCACATGCTTTACATTCAGATGCTTGACAAGTGACTGTGATGACCCAAAGGGGCTTGGCACAAAGGCAACACAGTCAGATCATCAGTAGCTCCAACTTTGATTAGCTCCAACTTTACCCCCAATGTCCTGGTTACCTTCTGGGCTGGAGAAAAACTCTTCCCAGGAAGAGCCTTTGGCTGCAGAGAATCAAGTCCAAAACATTGTCAACAAAAACTGTAAGTCCAATCAAGGCAAGATGAGGTAATTAGTCCGGCAGGGCAGGAGCAAGAATTCCAGACATGAAAGCACGGCAAAACTCACGCAGTTGGGAAGATGCCAGGAACACAGATAAGCAAAGTCAACACAAGATAAACTCATGTTTGCTCACAGCAGCTGCCACGCTCAGCATGCATTTCTTTTAAACTCTCATTCCCAGGTGTGGCTAAGGGAATCAGGGCCCTTTCCTCCCCCGTAAGCCATGCAATCTGCGTTGCTCCCTTCTTCGTTCCTCCCTGCATGCCCTAGGATGAAGAGGGGGTGGGCCTGGGTCTTCCTCTGCACTCCCCCTCTCCCCTGCCCTGCCGGCCTTTGCCCTTCCCCAGTTTCCTTCGCAGCCAATGGGGCCACACTCTCACTCCCTCTCAGCTGTCTGGCTTCCTCCTTGGATTCAGACTCCGATAGGGGCATGACAGTGACTCACATTTTTTTAAACAGTTTATTTCTATGTTTTAAGAACTGACTCACATTTATGACAGTCACAGTGCCTGGAGTCACGATTCCCTTCTGTGACGTTCTGACAAGCGAAGTCAATGGGGAAACCAGAGTCACTTAACAACCATGTTACTCATTTAACGACTGCGGTTGATTTCACTTAGCAAATGTGGCAAGGAAAGTCAGAAAATGGGGCAAAACTGGCTTATAACAACTTCCTCACCTTAACAACATACATTTTGGGCTCAATTGTGGTTGTAAGTTGAGGACTACCTGTATTTGGACAGCTCGCAGAGAGCAGGGAAAAGGGAATAATTGGATGCTTCACCTGTGGAGAAAACCCATTTTTTATTGAAAATAGCACTCCTTTAAATGTATGGGTAGACCCTGACTTACAACTATTCAGTGACCATTTGAGGTTACAATAGCACTGAAAAATCACTGACGACCATTTTTCACTTACGACCATTGTAGCAGCTGCACTGTCACGTGATCCAAATTCAGACAGCTTGACAACTGACTCACATTTATGACAGTTGCAGTGTCCCAGGGTCACATGATCCCCTTTTGTGACCTTCTGACGAGCAAAATCAGCGGGGAAGCCAGATTCACTTAACAACCATGCAACTTGTTTAACAAGTTCAGTGATTCAGTGAGGGGAGCCGAATGTCAACTCATAAACCATCCCTAGGCCTGTTTTAGTAGTTGCCATAACAAAAGGGGGGGGAGAGGAAGGAAATCTGGAAGAGCTGTGCAGCAGTTTGGAAGCGAAAGTACATTCCAACTCTTATCTTTAAAAGATTGTAGCTAAACTACCAGAGCTTTTGCCCGCAAATATATTTAATTGGAGAACATGATTGATGATACCGTGAAGGTGCTCAGTTGGAGAATCTGATTTATGACACACCCAGGAGGGAGGGGGGGAAACAGGGTCACAGGGGACTGTAAATGACGTAGGCCAGAGTTGGCTCTGCACATAGGGCAGGGCCATTATGTCACCTCTAATAAAATCTTTGCAATTTTTTGAAGTTTGGCTGGAGAATCATGATTTAATTAGGGTGATTGCTGGAATCCTGACAGAACCACGGTGGCCAGAAAGGATGTAAAATGGGGCAAAACTCACTTAACCTCACTTAACCTTAAAACTCACTAGCTTAGCAACATAAATTTGGGGCTCCATTGTGGTCGTAAGCTGAGGACTACCTGTACATTTTGTTTCCTCTAGGCACTCCCCCTCCCCAAGAGGAAGCAGCCTTAGAATAATTGGGACTCAAAGGATATGGTGAATGTTTCTACTCTGTTAAAGAAAGCCTCTTTGCTAGTGGATTCAAAATGCAGTTCATTGGTCTGGGGAGAGCCATTGGCCACTTCACCGAAGGCAGAGGAATCTTTTCTGAAACGCAAGCGAGAGGACTCAGAGAAATGATTTTCGATTCACAACAGCGAGTATTAGTAGTTTCTCCCCCATCTCCCTCTCTCAGGCCCCCCTAAAAGTGTCTAAAACGAATAGGTGGTAGAGGAATACATTGGATGGAACTTTTGAATTGGGCTAGGATCTTTGAGGGCCATTCAGTCTGACCCCCTGCTCAGGGGAGAATCAGAATGGAAACTCCCGAAATGAAAAGGCGGCTCGGTCCTAGTTCTTAAGCTTTATGCCTTAAGGTGGGTCTAGAATTCACTGTCTCCCCGTGATTGGCCCAAAGTCACCCAGTCAT